CTTTTAGGCACTTTTTTTCATTTGATTGTGGCGCAGGTACTTTGCTTATTTGAAACTAAATTATACACGTCAACTTTATCTAGAAATTCCGCGTCACATTCATTATTAACATTATCCTATTTTGTATAATATACAAACGATATCACAGTGATGACAACATTTATGATTAAGGAATATAACTGTTAACTTGTTTTTATCGTGACTCTAATTCAATTATTAAATATATTTTATCCGAAACTATATAAAGTTTAGATCATATTAGATGTGTTTATAAAAAATTAATTTACATATTTCAATGCACTCGTCATATATTATATCTATTCATTTATTATACTGCGATAGTAACTTGAGTATTAATAATTTTAGGCACTTAGACATCAACACTCTATAATAAAAAACGATTAATTTCAAATTAATATCATTTTCATAGAAACATGTTTAATCTTACAAAACATTTATACTTTTAAAAATTGACACATAGTCAATTCAGTAATCAATTTAGTAATTATTAGAATTTATTCCAACGGACAGAATTACACAAACATTACTTTACTTTTACATAAATTTTATCTTTTTCAACAAATTTTTATCAGATTTGACATTAAATTCAATTAAAATTAATTAATATAAATGTTATAATATTCTCCTCTAGAGTGTTGATGAAAAATTAAGCTTTGAGATCAAATAAGATTCTTGATATCATTTTGTTCCTTTTTTAAGAATATTTATACGATCAAAAGTAGCATCTCGAATTTAATTAGTGGTAAAAGATCTGGTTATCGATCAATTCAAAAAAATCTCAGTGCTTCTTCATATGATTAAGCATAATTGTTCGCGTGACAAATCCTTTTCCGCACAAGGTGCAGGTATACGGGCGTTCTCCCGTGTGATACCGACGATGTACAGTGAGCGTCGATGCCTGCGTAAACGATTTGCCGCACATGGCACAAAGATACGGCCTCTCGCCGGTATGGATGCGTTGATGCACCACGTAATACTTGCGATGCGTGAAGCCCTTGCCGCATACGTCGCAGACCAGCGGTCTCGACCTGTGCACCGCCTTATGCGTAGTTAGGGACTCAGCGGTGGTGAATTGCTTAGAGCACGAGTCGCAGGGATAAGTCATGGACTTTGCGGGGATTACGGGACCGCCAAGATTGCCTATCACGGGATCGACGACGGGCGAGACCGCGTTTGTACCGATGATCCTACCGTCGTTGTTGCCCGCTGGCAGCGGCCGATGCGTTTTCGCGTGATGATTGTACAAGTTGCGCGTCTCGAAGCGCATCAAGCATCTCGGGCAGGAGTAAGGTTTCTCCTGGCCGATCTCCTGATGCATCCTTCGATGACGTTCCAGCAGGGTGCGATATCGAAAACTGGCCTGACAAAGATCGCAGGCGAACGTTTTCTCCATATTATTGCCGGATGACGCAAGATTGGCAGAGGTCGACGCGCACGAGGTCACCGGGGACGCGGTATGCGTGACCTCGTGCATCTTCAGGTGGCTCAACGCAACGAAAGTCCGCGAGCAGACCGCGCAAGAGTACCTCGGCTGATTCTCGATATTGTGCTCGAACTCTGGACGCGCAACGTGACTCGTTCGCATGTGATAGTTGAGCTTGAGAGCGCTTCGAAACTCGAGACCGCACGTGGGACACGGATAGGACTCGGCGAGGATCTGTACCTGATCGAGCAGGGATTGGTCCGGGCACATGGACTGGAAATGCGGGGGGAGTAACGTCGACGGTAGCATCGACGATGATTGATTCGAGAATAGGGAGTTAGTGGTCTGTAGAAGATTACAATTGACGGATATGCCGATCTCTCCGATCTCGGGCGAGGGCGAGAGGATCTGACGCAGCATCCCCGACAATCCACCGAAAGTCTCGCCTCCTTCCCTGAAATTGACAAAACCCAAGGACATTGCAACGGAGAACGACACCCGTGGACGCACACACAGCTTTGTCTTTCGAGATTCTGCTCTTTGTGATTGTTACAATATATCTTGCATACAGGCAGTGATAAGAAAGAGAGAGAAAGAGAGAGCGAGAGAGAGAGAGAGAAAAAGAGAGACAGGACAGAAAAAAGATAGATCTTATGCTTATGTGAGTGCTGCAATGTGACCGGTGCAAGGTGCTTGGGCATTGCTGATATTCCTCGAGACATAACGATAATGAGAGTGTTTACAAGAGCGTACGTGCGAATCGAGAAAGTCGTCGTGATTTGTCGTCAAGTCAAACAGCTTTTTGGAAATTTCATCACACGTTATATAATATCCATCAAGCTTTCCGAATTTTTTATATAAGTCTTATATAATATTTAATTACGATTGTAGATGAATACTATATAGAGAATATACTTGTAAGCCTATTATCTCTTACTAGTTTTATATTCATATTATATTTTTAATAATTAATATATTATTCGAATTATAAATAATTAGAGAAATAGTATATATGTACAACATAAAAACTGTATATTAGATATTCCCTAACGATAGCAGAAGGAAAAAGTAAAGATTAAGCCATAAAACTTGGCAAAAGAGTTCGAGAAAAGCAAATTTTTACTTAAGAAATTCACTCTGAGACTGGAATAGAAAATATTAAAACGCAAAAGTAAGTTAATTACAGAAAAATCTCACCTTTATAAACAATCCATTACGATGAGGCATCTTCTTCTCACTTGCACAGAATAAAACAAAATATGACTTTTTACACACATACACACATATATACTTACATTCAATACATCGAGTGTTTAATATATCACGAAATGTCATATTATATGGAACAAATTAAAAATGCAGTTAAAAACTGCAAATAAAAGATGAGGAAGAAAATCAAAGATATTATTCAGTACTTTACAGCAAAAAATGACATCTTGTAAAAGCTTGACATGATAAAAATAAATGAAAAATGTTATGCAATGTCAAACTTTTATGTGTGTCAGATATTTACTATACTCAGAACTGAATATTACGATTTTCCTCATTCACAAATGTTTAAAAGGTTCTTTATATAAAATGACATTTAGAATATGTCCAGAAAATATTAAATATTGCAGCCGATTCGCGAGGCGCATAAAAATATTTAATAAAATATATAAAATTTTATTTCTCGAACGCAAAAACCGGCGCAACATACGGTGCAAGCCTGGTCATTATTCGCTAAAAAAAAATCGTTCTCCGTGATTATAATCACGGTATAATTTTTGTTCGCACTTATGTGGAGGCGCGCGAAATAATACGCGCGATCCAAACAATATGCGATAAAAATCTAGAATTTGTATAATAACGTTGCAACGAGATGCGCGAAAAAATTTGTTCGACACTAAAATGTCATCGCGTATCGCTACTACTGTTACAAGTGCGCAGTATTTCATTTTGCATATAAGAAACACACAGAAAATCTATGCATAAAATACAAAATGTAAAATGTACAAAAAGAATAATACTCGCCTTTGTATAAATCCTCTTGACTCGATGTAGTCTCTTAATGGATGATTTTTTTTCTTTCGTTTTGCAGAATCTTCGAATTGAAAAACATATGATTCTTGATCTTCTTCAACATCGTTCATTCTCAACCGATTATCTTCTCGATTTATAACTACACTATTTCGCAATTGCTTCATCGTTCGAGGATCGTATACCGGACACGCAAAATTTTACTAACGATCTCGTGGGATACGTATTGTTATATCGATTAAACGGTAACTCTTAAGATTACGCAACACTAATATAATAGTACAGAGTCCTGGCAATATCGTAAAGCGCAGGCATCGGAAAGCACGAAGATATAAATCAGAAACGGTAGGTAGGTATACGTAGGTAGGTATACGTTGCATCAATTAAAATATCTATCGTCTGTGATTTTTGAATTGGCCGAATATCGGTCATTTAGTGCGGCATTTAGTGCCATCACGTAAGCGTGGGAATATTAATATCGACAACATGTAAACATTTGATTTCTGAGTGGACAGAGAGATGAAACTGATTTTCCATAAATACTGATTGTTGTGAGAACAAGGAATTAATTTTTTTCACGACATATATATATATATATGTACATATATATGTATATATATATATATATATATATATATATATATATATATATATGAAATAATCTAGAGAAATCCCTCTGTCCATTATATTGCACATTTATAAGTAATATTTAACACATAAAGTCCATTTCAAGTAAGACATAAAATTAGATTAATTATATCTATACGATTTTACAAAGAATATTATGTAAAGAATATTAATGTTAAAATATTTTATCGAAATGCACTTTATATGTACATGCTACCACATGAAGAGTAACAAGATGTTTAGCAATTTGCACATTCTAATATTTAAATAATTCTATAATATATTCCTTCTTGAAAAAAAATATTGAATATTATTTTAAATATGCAAAGATATTACATAGAAAATATTTGTATAAATTGCTAAACACCTAGGACCAAAGATGGTTGTGGGGTGTGTTTAAACTTACCTTGTGTTTATCTGCATTGTATTTTTATGATTAACACTAAATATCGTTGTACTACTATCTTATATTGATTTTATCTTATACTTCTCTTACTTGATTTTATCTTATACTCATCTTATAATCAGCACAGTTTTTCAAGATTTTAATCAATGTATATAATTGCAAATACTTTAAAGTAATATATATATAATTGTGTATATTGATTTTTTAACAGATGTATGCAATGCTATTAATAACTTATATTTTCAAATTTTCGAAATTAATTTTTTATAACAATTTACTGTAATGTACCATTAAATCCATTTCATTATTGAATTATTGATTTAATTTTACTTAATGCCAATAAATATACATAATTTTGTTCATTTTAAGTTCAAAATCAGATTATCATAACAAAAAACAATAAATAAATAAAATCAGACACAATGTTTTGTGTTATTGTTCATGTTCACCACAACAAATGACATCTTTGGCCCTCAAGTAATAAATTAAAAACAGAAAACTCACCCAGTTTTTGCATCCACGTCTGATGTTTGTGACATTACCATCTCAGGCATATCAGCAATTTTTTGTTGTTGAAGCCCAGAAGGACCTGCCTCGTCGCACGCCAGAGAGACATTGACAAATGTTGTAGGCTCAACAGTTCTACTGTTATTAGGATCTTCTTCACTTTCTTCTTTTATAGGTAGGCCTTAAACAGAATTAAGTTTTCTTTTTTTCTACTCTTTTTTTTTTAATTTAAGCACAATTTACCTAATAATATCTTAATTATATAAATTATATAGACAATAACATATTTAACACAATTATATACCTTCATCTCCATCGCATTCATCATCCGAGTTTTCTTCTTCTTCACTACTCTCCTCTTCTTCTTCTTGCTGTGTAGATGTATTTGTTTGATTCTGCGTAATTTGGTCATGTGACGTTTGTGTACTTGGTCCAGCTACTGGTTGGACATTTTGTACAGAGTTACCACTGTTGTCTATAGGAACTGAGGTTATTTGTTGTTGGGTATTGCTCGACATCATCATAGGCATAGTCAAACCCATATTGTCCATCATACCCATAGTCATATTGTTCTGATGTTCGTTTACTTGTTGCATCACAGAACCATCTAACCTGTTCTCGTTGCTTTGATCTGGTTTCATACCATTCTAAAATAAATAGAAAACAAAACATGATTTTTATATTTACAAGAATTAAAAATTTCAATAAATTAAATTGAGTAAGATAAAATGTATATATTTCCAATATTTTATTTTTCAACTAGTCATCTTATATAACCTTAGTCATTATATTCCATATAATATTTATATAATTAATTTTTTACATCAATAAATAATTAAACACAAAAAGATATATATTGCAATATATGTATATGTGTAAATATTATATGAGATTTAAAAATATTTGAAAAAACTTACACATGCATAACATGCAAAATATTGAAACTGCTAATTATCATTGCTATGGTAAACATAGACAAATGAAGACTTAGACATAAGACAATCTATGCACTTAAATTTTGTGTGTCTACTTTTGTATAATCCTAATTTTTTCGCTTTCCATAAATTTGTTGATAAATTTATTACAAGAAATAAATAAATAGCTGCAGAAGAATAATTACCGGATTGAGAACAGTGCCAACGTAACCCTGTTTGTCTTCCATGTTTACTTCGCCTAGCCATTGTAGTAACTGTTTCTCTGCGTTTGCTGTCGTATGCCAAAATTGATAAATTAATTCTACTTTATACACACAGTCGTCACATATCTTCTTGGGTAATTTATCTTCTCTGGCCACCTATAATTATAATAAACAAGAAAATTTATGCGAGACTTAACATAAAACACTATAAATCATATTTTATTAATATAAAAATTATTTTTTTAATATTATAAGTTCTTTCTGTCTGTTAATATCATCTATAATCAAATCTATAATCAAATCATCTATATCATCTATAATCAAATCATGATACAAAGAATCGTGTCTATTTACGTATCAATAAATAAGAGACGCCGTTAAACACCGTGAACTAATAGCAAGTTTATTAACTAATGACGTTAATTCTGATTTCTCCGTAATAAGAACGCAAATACGTAAATACACGTGCAAATTAGTATTTAATCGCACGATAATGTGCGTCAAAACAATGTTCCGATAATTGGAATTGAAGACAAAATGAGATATTGATTTCGGAAATCGACACAAGTCAACGTCACGCGTCTCGTGAGCGTAGACAACAATGGCTGATGAATGAGATTACGTTAATTTCGAAATATAAAAATATTAACTCTGCCATTTTGATAAAAATCGTACAAATTATCGCTAATAATTGACGTGCCGCGTGAAATGAATTTTTCACTGAGCACATCGCATGCAAAAGCGCGGCAAAAATCCATCGAACAATTAGTGGCGTCGCAAAGCCAACGAGCAGAAATGGAGAATCACGATATAACGAGCGTAAACCGCGCGACGAAAATTACCTCCAACGTGACACCTCAATTCCCATATTTTCCCCGTTTTTCTCCCCCCCTGTCCCTCGCGACCCAGGAACGATTAACGGAAAATAAAATCGAACGAAGGTGAGATTCGCCGCCGAGGTGAGGTCAAGGAGGCCCGAGGCAAAGGTTCGCAAGATGGCAGGTCGCCATAGTTGTACGCGATGGCGTAGTTGGCTTCTTACCTTGACCGGCAAGCAGGCGGTGATCTTGAGAAAAATCTGCCGCACGTCGCCCTCGCCTTCGAAGATCGGCACGGAAACGCGATCCTTCACGAGACACAGCCGACACAGGTCCAGATAATCGAGAGAGGACATTTTACCGCGTAAAACGCCAGCTCGGAGACGCAAAGCCGCGCCCGTGCACGCGAACGCCGTTTGCAACGAATCCGAAGAGGGAACCCGCGTTGTTCGCTACGCGTCGCTTGCTCACGGCTGGCTCCCTCGGCCGCGCTCGGGACACCTCGGCGGCGCTCGGGGAGCCTCGGCCGCGCTCGGGGCGCCTCGGCCGCAGCCTCGGCGAGCGTCGCGGCAACGTTCGCGTATCGATCGGCTTTTACCGAAGCCAACCGCCTTCACACACGACAGTCCCGGATGACGATGCGAGGGCTCTCTTCTTGAAATGTATCGCAAATCGATGGCGCGATTTTTCCCTCTCGAGACCGGACTCTCGAAAATCGATATAATCTGACAGTTCTCGAAATTTATTCGAAATGTTGACAGAGCGACGCGCGAAAAAATTGCCTGGCAAATTACTATTTTGGCGATTAATTGAAGAAATGCGCGCGAAAGCGTGTGCGAAAATAGGAAGAGACGTCGTAAGAGAGACAATAAAGCTTCCTGGGGCTCTCCGTAATTTCACTTTTCCGACACGTCGGATTGATTGATCGGGCAGATGGCTGGAAAAGGTCGTCCGAGTGCATGCTATGAAGTTTTCATGCTCAATTACTCCCACTTTAGTTAGATGTTCAACGACGCATGATCAAACCGTCTAACGTCTATCGGCGAACAACCGAGAGCGGTTGTGGAAAATGTTGACATGTTCATTGTTTCGCGTAGATCACCTTATCTCCGTTTAATCTGCACTGAAAATTATGCATATTGTATTTATTGGAGCAATTTTTTTCCGCTTAACTGCTTTTCGGAGTCATTTAAACATTAAATTATAATAGATTGCAAAAAAATGAGCTCGCCGTAAATGTAGAATCTTAAATGCAACAAATGTAGTTAATTTATTCATAAATTCAGAAAGTGAATCAATATATAATAATCTGCAAAAGGTAGACTTTAATATTTTACGTCGAGGAGAAAGAGCTTTTTGTTCGATATCTTATTTTGAAGTAGAGATAAATTGAGATTTATGATACGGCACTGTATGAAATAAGAATAAAACGGATCAAGAGAAAGAGAAGAGACGTAATGTCGTATCCCTTTGTCTCGATGTTGCGACTTAAAGTACTTTCATACGAAACTCACATCGTCGTCGTATGAGAAAATTGAATTATATTCTTTTGACGTAAACGAATTAAATACGAAAAAAGAGGAAGGGAAAGGAACTGATGGAAATAATTTTCACTTGGAAAAATTTAATTGTCTATAATTTACCGCCTGATTGTGGTACAACAATTGTCATTTGCTCACATGTGTGAAACCGACTTTACTCCATTGTAGAAAATGTCAATGATCTCTCATGTTTTTTCCTACTCTGCTTTGACTGCGTTTTTAATGAAACTGTAAATAAAAACGTATTTGTTTTCTCTACTCAAGTTTTTATTATTTTTCTCTTTAATTTTTGTATTATTATATTTCATTTAAAAAGAGAATCATCTTTTTTATCAATACACATATCTAAAAGTTTTCACTTCTGTTTCTCTATATAGAAAAAAAACTTGTATATAATATTTCTTTATATAGAAAAAAAACTTGTATATAATAATCTTTACTTAGAAAAAAATTAAATATTAAACTAAAATATTTAAAAAATCATTCAAATATTTAGTGCAATATCTCAATATACATCTCATAGACTACTGTACACGTGATACAGTGAAACATTATCATCATTCTTGCATATCATAAGACAAACAAACAAATTGTCATATAAAATAGGAAAAGAAAGTACTACGGCTGTAGATAAAAAAAACTGCTTTATTGTGGCAGAGCACATGTATCATTATATATACCAGCATATATATATTTATATATATAATAGGAAGAGTCCATAATAATTTACAAATTACGATCCATTTAAATGTCGTTACACATGGCGGTGTGTGCAGGCAGGGGATTTGAGAACCGATTCCGACCAATCTTTCGCGTCTTATCTTCAAAAAATTTCACCCTTTCTTGTTTTTGTTCTTACTCTCCCTCAAACTTTGCGTCTCGATCGTGAGTGGCTTACTGAAGGCCCTTGTAGGATACGCTATTTATATAATGAAAATAAGAGATATGTAGTCTCCTTTCTTTCAGTTATTTCATCGAAACTGTGGCCATAATTATTCGAGGAACATTGTGTATGAATCTTTCCTTGCACATCTTACAATATCGTTATTAATATCGCAAATCTTTCGTAATTTTCGCATGTATTGAAAACTGTTTTCTTCTGTCAATACAACCTATTTCTTTTATTTTTGAAAGAAATAGACGATCAATTTTTCTACTTGTTGAATAATTCGATCAAATAAAATTTATTGAATGCAATCTTTTTCACGATAAAATTGTTTTACACTTCATCGTTATTATCGGAAGATATCCGATGAATTATCGTAAATAGAATAATAGAAGCATAAATTGTTATAAATTTTGAAGATACAATGTCCGAATATACTTCTTTATATGCACTTATTTTATAAACTTATTTTTTTCCGCGATTTAAAAACGCGCAATAAATCGATTAAGTGATAAAGTTGCATTATTTCGATGCTTTAATTAATTAATTAATCGACTAATTAGTTTGTTAAATTCGTAACTATATGTACTTATATCTTTTTACGCTATTATAATAATAGCAAAATTGCATGAATGTTTGAATCTTTTTTTTTTTTTAATTCCATATCTTTGTGGTTATTTCGTAATGTAAATTTACACAGCTATTACAAGTATTATTGTTTATATTTGTGTAAGGTAACATTAATAGCAGACTCTTCGTGTCCGTTACCTACTTAATACAAAGTTAAAAATGCATAAAGTTTAAATCTTTCTTCAAATCTGCGAATGTATGTGTGTTCCGCTGAGTGTATGCACGTGTATATTTACATATACACGTTACATGTACACAAAGCACATGATTGATTTACATCTGGCACTTGCCTGTGCTGTTGCTCCTCTCTGAATTTTCCGGAAACCGAAATTAAAAGAACGAATCAAGAACCTCATAATGTATTGATATAAATTATATATCACATCTGTAAAACTTGCATGCAAATATTACGATGCAAAAATAGTAAAGCATATCAAAGATACTCGCGATAAAATGATGATTACGATATTAATAACATTTTAATACTTTTTTTTTATATTTCTATATCTCTAATACCTTACACCTGAGACGTTCTTTTAATTTTAGGTATCCTAGGATTTGGAAGGCCGCTGATGTATCGTTTCTAAAATTTTCAAACCAATTTTTAAACTAAGGACTATAGTCTATTTATTAGAATTAGTGGAATAAGCATCATGTCTAAAATAAACATTCCTGCATTTTTATTATTTAGAATGAAAGAGTTTTTCAAATATATTACATATTTTGTACAATTATTCTTTTCACAATTACACGTAACAGCAATTCATGATGTTGTTTTACGATTTCTAAAAGATATTGGTGATAAAAAATAATATGCAAAAATTTTGCGGACATTATCTTTTATTATGTTCTAATTAAGTAGGCTATAGTCCAAAAATGATCTTATATCATCAATATTGGGATTAACTAAGTTAGCGTTGGTCGTAAAATCGTTGATAGTTTTAGCATATCTAGTACACTTCACGCTATATTGATGAAACCCGTTTAGGAAGCTGAACGACAAAACATCAATTGGGAAAGGCATGGAAGTGAACGTAATCCTATAGCAATTTCAACAAAGCGTATGTCTCACTCTATATTGTACAATTTTCTCATATGTAAGAAGTGTCACGTATGCTTCGATCTACTTCGACAACGTTCCAGTCACTACTTTATTTTTTCCATAGTATAGGATGTGTCACTTAAAATATTGATAACAAAAAAAAACAATTTCTTTGTTATATAAAGATTATATTACAGATGGAGAAAAATTATAATTATAATAATCCTAGTAAAACATCTGATATAATTACAAACTCCATTGTACAGGTGACTGCTATTAAATGATCGTCAAATTAGATACGAAGCAAAGCGCCCCAAGTATATTTTTTTAGACAGAAATGCTTTATATATATTACAATATTATTATACAGTTAATAAAAATTTTTTTTGCAGCGAACACCGTCGCGTTTTCACAATTTACAATTATTATCAATAGAAACTTCTCATAATCAGTTTTATGGCCATTTATACTATATATATAATAATGCACGAAATTATATATTTCTGCTTCATTCTTGGTACAATGCGTCAATCGAAAGTAATCTCTTCACAAAAATAGGGAAATTGCATATAAATGTACTATCCTACAAATTTGTGAACTATTTGCCATGTTGCTCTGTACTATTATTAATTGTTCGTCGATATTCAAGATTCTATGACAATCAAATTTTTCATTTAAAATAAAATTTGTATTAATATTTAAATATATTTTATTAGTATTTTTTTCATACTTTCCTCTTAACAAAGTAATACAAGTAATAGCAATTTAAATATATGGAAGAAAATTATAGCACTGCAATATAATTACAGTGACATTTGGATATTATTTTCGAACGTTGCATTCTCACGTCAAACAATACATCATTTCATTCTGCATTTTAGCTAAATCGATGTGAACACAATCCATTTAATATTTATTATTTCGCGAAATGTGTTTAGATATATAGGCGAATATAAGAAATGTTCTCTTACAATTAGCAACAAAATCATATTTTTTAAGATATATCAAATTCTCGCAATAAGCATATCTTAAGGAGAGAGAAATAACTTTATAGATTATTAGAAGAGATACTAGCTCAATCACGTAAATATAGAATATAATAAATCAAATCATGCTATTATTACTAATTAAGTTATATTTTGACGATATATTATAACAATTTTATGTCACCTATTTAATAATTAAGATCAAAAGCAAACGAGAAATCGTCTTTTGTTCAGCTAATACTATAGCTTCGATTATTATAAGCTCAATTACTTGTTTTTATAGAATGTTACAATAAATATAAAATATTATATGAAAGTGTATATATAATCCTTGTATTATCTTAAGATGCTATATAATGTTTACCTGAGAATTAAAAAAATTGTATATACCCGATTATTCAAAATTTTATTACGTTACGTGAAGACTAGCGCAAAGTTTGATATAATAAACTACGAACAAATGACGAACGTGTTGATCGTTTCAAACTGTAAAATACCTATATGCTGTTTTAAAAAGATTTATGATCGTTACTGCTATTTAGCTTAAACGAGTTGAAATGATGTGTCAAGGAGGGCGAATCAAATAAAAGTTACATCGACCATCGATTAATACAAGATGCATGGCTAATTATGTGTTCACTTAATTTATTTTCGTTAAGTTAATTTTTTTTCTCTCTTATTACCCTCCTTATCTCATAAAAATCCTTTACGATCTACGTGATCGCATTATTTGTTACTACCTATAATATATTACAGACTTAATTCGCCGTAATTAATATTAATGAACGGGAGTAAGTTCTAGCGATTCTTTATCATCTTTTCTTTTTTTCTCGTAGAGTAAGATATTTATAAGTGAAATGGCGCAACCGCGATAAACGGTCAACAAGTACGGCTGTTTCATCGTAATTATGCTTGCTGTCAAAAGGAAAATAACATTATATAATAAATTGTAAACGAGTGTCTGATGTGTATATGTATATATAGATATATCATCGTATTGATTGATGATTGAATCCAAAAATTCATGCGAGAGAGATTGCGCATCGCAGCTTAATCTGATATAATCATATCCGTATAATATTATAAATTGCTTTTGGTCGTGATGTGTGAACATCAATGTTTTCAAATTGTCGATGTGCATGATCTAAATATTTGATTTCCTGAAAATCTTACATCTCATAATATACAATGTAAACACATGGCTCACGCGTTTGATTTGAATGACAAGACATTCCCACGAAAAAATTGCCGTACCCGTCGGCGTTTTCTTATAGACCATCGATTCGATAAAGAAACGTCTTCTATTTATGCTACTTATACATGTGCAATCCAGTATACGTCTTAAAAATATCCGAATAAGTTCTACTTTTCTCGATCAAAAGGCAAGAGAATTGTTCCGCTCGTGTTCATCCTATAGTATGATAACGCATCTATCGGGAATACGTACTTCTTGTTTCGATGGATTGACTCTTCGTAGGTAAACTGTAAACGATCAATTCGGGGAAGCAAATTCGTCAATTTTTCTCGCGTACTCATCTCTGCGTCGTGTCATTGGCCGAACGCTTGTGTTTGAGGAGATCTACAGCAGCTAAAATCTACAAAATCTATGTAGCTGTGGCCACTTTGACAATCTCAATCTGTACTTAAATAATAATAAATGGAGAGTCTTGAAATTTTTTTTTGGATATATATATCACGTATTTTGCGAACCCGCATGATAATAATGTGACGTATCTTACAAGTATGTATTATACACATTTCTCCGTAAGATTTTTCGGAACGCTTCGTGTGTATCGTATACCTAAAATCGTAGTTTGTCTCTATACTTTATATTATATACAAATTGTAAAATGTCTTCTCTTAATGGAAAAAGTCGTGTCGGTTTGTGTATATCTTCCTTTGGTGTGTATCTATTTATTTTTTTTTTTAATAATACTTCTCTCTCTCCCATGAGAACGAGAACGTAAGGTGTATATTTAGCGTTTGTATTGACGCATTCTTATATTTTTTTACACACAGACGCATTTCCACGTGCACACAAACTCGCACTCGCTCACGATTTCGCTCAACATGCGTGCCTTGCATTCACTCCCTTTCGTCCTTGCCATTCGTACTTTATTTTATCGTATCTTTCGGCTGCAAGATACACGATCACCTCCGCACACAGCCTTTTGTACGCGCACAACTTTTCAAGGTCTGCTCACTGCCTAATCGCATTTGCGACGTGATTCCACAATTCTCGTTCTACTGTATTTTAAAGAGACGACTAAATATATCGTGAAATTATTGGGAAACAAATGCAAGGATTGTGCTGAATATTTCAAATTATAATTAATTCTTAAAATGTGTGAGCTATAAAGTATATTCAGTATAAACATTGTTTCAAAATGCAATCAGATTTTCAATAAAAGAGGATCAATATTTCAATTTGGAAAAGAAAATCGTAAGTAAAAAGATATATAAGAAAACTTGCACTAAATTTTGTGATAAATACAACACATTATTCCAATAAATATCTTATGTATTCTTTCGCTTAAGAAAATTATTTCGATAAAAATAATTTAATTATAAACCTAATCTATTTGGCTATAAATTTATCACACGTATAGAATCTCATCGCATTTGATGATGTCAGCGAACGACACAGCCATTTTTTGCGGATATCAAAACGGAAAATTTCGTCTCAATCTCTCGAGGATCAATTCTCATTTCTTACTCATCGATTCTCATTCCTTACTCGGTAGCGCATACATGTTAGAAATTCATTATCATTGAGTATTATCCTAATATCCTCGGTTATGCGAACGTGAATAAACTTGAACGACAACGGTGTAGATCGCGAGAGTGAAAGAATTATGCACCGCATATGTCGAATCGGGAACGACAGGCGTTTCCATCGAGGAGCATTCGGCGCCGTTTGCTACACCCGGTAGCTCGATTCGGATTGAACAACTCGAGTTGAGTAGTCCCGGCGATTTCAATTTCTAATCATAATCCAATCTCTTACCTAAACGAGACTCTACTCTCGTTCGACGAGAGCGAAACACAGAGGAGAGAGAAAGAGATAGAGAGGAAGAAATTAAGGGAGAGAGAGAGAGAAAGAGAGAGAGAGAGAAAGGTAGAAAGAGAAAGATAGAGCGAGAGAAAGAGAATTCGTGGCGGTGATGATAGCGTCTCGACGACGATTAAAATTCGTTGAAGTCGGCGGCCCTACCGGGAAACTCTCTCTCCTCAGACAGACACTCGCCGCGGCTGCTCGTGGTAATAATGCTCTTGTTCCAAGAGTACCACGCTCCTCGCGGCGGAGCAACGTCAGATGCTGGCGCGATGTTGATAGAGCGGTGGCAATTCCAGCGGCGTGATCGGCGGCGAATGCAGCTCGCCGCATTGCACGTTCAACGCCGACAACTGTTGCATTGGCAGCAAGTGCGAGATCTTGCCGGGCGAGCGACGAACCGTGAAACGCGGTCTCCGTCGCTTTCTCTGGAAGCCGCTGCAGCGGCAGCTGCACACCGACGCCTCATCGTCAAAGGACATCACGTTACCGTGATTGCCGATCTGGCCGGATAATATCGAGCCATTCGCCGTTATCACGTCGCCCTCGAGACGTACTGCGCCCTGGGCCGCCTGCGGTGCGAGAATATTGATGATGTGTACAGACATTTCTCATAGAAAAAATAAAAGTAATTAAGAAAAAAATGATTCAAATGTATACACCATATATGTTATATATATTAGGCTATCTTATATTTAAAAAAATACTATTTTAATTTCTACGTATTTGTTTGTGCGTATTGTTAAGGCAATGCGAAGGATTCATATATATATATATAAAGTAGTGTCAACAGTTTTAAGGAACGCTACCTTATAATTCAATTTATTGGTCTGATTAAGAGATCGACTAAAAATTAAAAATATAAATTAAACGTTTATTTATCAAGTATTAGATATGCAGCAAAAATATAGACCAATGTATTTTAGATAAAAATATAGTTGTGTACCTGTAACGCTTCGGCTTCGTCTCGTCTTTCATCTTCCGTATTCATGGTCACGAATCTCAAAACCAGCAAATTAAGCGAAGCCGCCACGATCGCCAAACCGAAGAGAATAAATATTAGAGCGAACATCACGTATTCGGGTTTCTTGTTGAGCGCGTTGTCCTTTTGCAACGCGACCATATCGCCGAAACCGATTGTCGTCAGAGTAATAAAGCAATAGTAAATAGAATCGAAGTAGGACCATCCTTCGTATCTGGAGAATGCGGCAGCACCGCCAGCGATGGTCAAGCAAGACAACGTCGTTACCACGCAGATGAGATTTATCTCCGAGGCCTGTAATACACCGTAGATTTATTTTTTAAAGGAAAATTATTACCAAGAAAGTGTTAGAAAATATAAAATGTAACATTATAAATAAGTTACAATGATCCAAGCGCAATTTAATTTTCGGATTCGGGCAAAAAATGTGTCTCGGGAAGAACTTACTAGATTTTATCATTTAAGTGATTTGAAATAAAAGAAGCTAAAGAAATAAAAGATAAAAAAAAATAAAAATAAGAAGAAGCATAAGGAATCATTATAGAGTAATATTATGATGGTTTTAATTAAAAAAAGGTAAAAATATTTTAAAGAGAAATCAAGTATATAAAGAATGATAAAGACACATATAGTGTATTGTCACATGCTAAATATTAGATAATTATTCGATATCACATATAAAAATTTATATTGTTTTTACGAGATGCATTATTTTTACATTAAATAGAAAGCATGTTTAAAGTAAAATGTAATTATATATGATATATCTTAATATATATAAAAATTCAATGTTTCATGTTTATACTATAAATATTTACAAATTCGGAAACCTTTTCACGTGATAATCTGTTTAAAATTAAATAACAAGAAATGGCTTTTTATGACTGCTTCCAAAATACCTTGATTTTGCTATTTTGTTTTTTTAGAAACACCTACAACTATTTATTATTATTTTAAAAAAATACATAATTTTCGTATATATATATATATATATATATATATATATATATTTCGTATATATTATAATTAAATTTTAATTTCTGTAAATTCGTTTATACAAATTGTGTAAGTTTTCAACAAATTTAATCACTTATCTAAAACAGAATGTACGTTCGTTTCACGAATTCCGTTTGAATTGTACATGAAATGTTTGACGATGAGCGTGGTTCGAGCTATTGTTACCTGGACGTCCTTACAGTTTAGAAGCTGCTTTACACTCCGTATCACGACAGATGAGAACTTATTCAAGCGTTCTCCTATGCTCTGAAACATTACGAGTCCTAATGGGATACCAATAATTGCATAGCACATTGTGAACAGTTTGCCGTATATAGTATTCGGCGTCGAGTGTCCGTAACCTGAAAAATGTAACATAAAATACTACTTAATACAATGAATTTTATTATCTTTATTTTTTAAAATTGAAGAGAATGATATTTCAAATTCAATTCAATATTTCATAGAAAATTCTAAAATGTATACACATGTGCAAATATATTCTCTCTGTGTGATAAAAGGGTTAAACCGATTAAAATTAAAATACTGTGGCTTAAACATAAAATTTCTGTGACTAGTGAATATATCTCTGACAATCCATTTATGTTGCTTGAACAATTGATTATCGGCTTATTACCATTTTTAGTCTCAAAATCAGTCAACGAAAAATCATAAAATTAAAGCATCAAAAAACTCATAAAATCTAAAATTATTTCAATAATATTAAAATAATGTTTAAAGCTTTAAATGTTCTGTATATTATATACACACGTACGCATACAAAATAATTGTATAAAGAGAGTTTAGAAATATCGTATAATATAATAACGTATAATATCAAATTATTTTTTGCAAACATGTCATATTCGAGGATCTCTCTAGTGGGAATATTAAATAAATTTGTGACGGATGGGAATATAATTCAGCAGTAGTTGAATATAGCAGTGGTAATAAATTTGCTTTGAGTAGCTGACAATATTCAATGCAACAATAAATTCGCAATATATACCTATCGTGGTGAGGACCGTTGTAGCGTAATAAAATGCGCCAGCGAACTTCCACTGTTGGCCAGCTTTGTGAGGTTCCGTCTTCAGCACCACTGTTTCCATGATCTTGAAGTCGTCCTCGCTTATATTATATTTTCGTATGACCATCTTTTCAATGGCTGCAATTACATGGAATAAAAGTGTAGCAATTAGAGATTGATGTATCTTGTAATCCATAGAATATTCTAAAAGTATTAAGTTTGATAAAATAGAAATCGCGTGCATGCTTGTCATGTACATTATCGATATTTCCAATTGTAAAATACAAGTAAATATCATTCGTTAGTAAAGCTAAATAAAAAATGATTAATGACCTCTGAACTTTTCAAAGTATACTTTGATATTTGACAGATCCCCACATCGAAATAATGAAAATTTGATATCTTTAATGAAATTGTGCACAGTTTCCCTCGAACAAAAGCCAAGGGTTGTCTTTGTAAATGAAAAAAAAAGAAAAAAGAAGAAATATAAGACGCGAGAATCACCACTCTACTCGGCTCCCTTCAAGATTTATAAGACTTACGGGAGACGTTTATTTATCAACGAGACAATACATAGTCGTTATATTGTAAAAAGTTTCACTTCAATGCTAGTGCAATGACTTTCTTATATTAAGTGCCTCTCATACAAATGCTAATTTTTCTATACCTATAATTATATATTATATTTCTCTTTGTTAGTGTTATCTAATGTCGCTTACATATGTGATAACATTTTTTACCACATGATTAAATAATCTACACAAATAATAGAAAATAAAAAGGTTGTTGGACAATACAAATAATTAAAAATATTGTAAGAACGTTCAAGAGACACTCTATTTTTTCTGGCGTTCTTTAGAAGTTTTCAGATATTTAAAAAAAATTTTTTTTAAAGTCTATTTACTCACAATTTATCAAAACAAGATTAAAAGAGAAAATATGAACATTATATAGTATATGTAGTAAATAAAAAAACAAATCAAAATTAAGAACTTATATAAAATATCTTCTTCTGAAATATTAGTTTAAAATTAATTATATTGCATTATCCTTATTTTTTTTTCATTACTATTTTTTTCGATGTTGAACGTCATTAAAACAGTCATTTTTGATGAAAGCGATGTAAATCCAATTTTAAAATTATGCTGAAAACAATACCATTATTACAAATTATGCTGAATACAATATGCAACATACTCTGAGATATTTGTAAAATACACAAGCAAGTTAATTATTTACCATCTAATGCTTCCTTGCGTAATTTCTCCGTCTCGGACTCGAGCACGTCGAAGATTGCAGCACCGACGAGGAGATAGGTAAGCGTGAAGACGATTAATGATAAAGTCCGGACGTTTTGCTTCTTCATTCTCTAGTGAGCCACATGCTCACTAGCAGGGCCCCGGCCCTAATTACTTGCATCGCTCAATGAGGTACGATTTGTATCATCGGGTCCATGACGAACCCTCTCTTCTGCTCGGTGACGCTTGACGGGGGCCCCTCTATGCCCTATCTCTATGCTACAGACCTGGCACGCGATTCCTTTTCTTCAGGATATCTCCTTCCTTGCAGTAGCATTCGTGCAGTCGTTTCCGTTCATCTGAAACTTTCATGCCTATATATCTGACTAAAGTTTAAAACGTAAAAAGATATGTAATATATAGCAATTTATTAATAAATTGAATTAAAAATAAATCTCTCTGATAAAATAAGAAGCAACCGAGATAGTAATTGGAGCATTGAATCGATTTTATGATATCCGAAAGAAAGCCAATGATACGAACGAAATTTACGAGTCCCCGTTGCAGCAATACGTTGCGTTATTTTTAAAGATATGGGTCGTTTAAGAAAGCCGCACGAAATCGATTTCATCCTATCTCTTCCTCATTTTCGGAATCTTTCTGCTACTTTGAAATTGAGATGTACGACACGAAAAGATATAATCCAACGATTAAGCGAGATGACCCGTTTTAAGACCTCCTCCTTTTTTCCTCGTCGATGAAAGGATAAAGCTATTTTTACGATGAGAATTAACTGAGCAAAAAATGTGCTGATTTAGATTTTAGGGCTCACCTGCAGTCTGTTCCGGGTTTTCCTTTAGGTACGACGAAGAGTTGAGCAGAATGATATGGCAGTGCTTTCGCTGCTCCCACTGCCACGTTCCCTCCATTCCTCAGCTTAGCACCCCACGTTTTCAGAGCCGACTAAACAAAAAAAAAGATAAATTTTTGACGAATTGAGCAAAACACATTTTGCAGAAAAATTAGTTTTTATAATATATTCGGTAAAACAATGGTAGATAGAATTTATTTCATCGGCATCCAATATCGTTTTTCATTTAAAATAATCCGAATATGCTGCCTATCAAAAAGTTGAAGCAATATATACACGATTCAACAATACAAATTATATTGATTAAATCAAATTTTTTTAATTTATACAAAAGTGGTAAGAATATTCGAATGAAACGAAAGATGTCATTTTTAAATTGCTATATATAATTTAATTAAAAAAATCTGCAAAGAGAGAAATGTTATAATAATTGTTATCTAAAAGATAAAATTTTATTGTGTATCACTATACAAATATATAGATATTTAGATACACATAAATGATAGTATTATATCTACAATGTATCTATTATCGTTTTCGCAACTTATTACATCTGATAATGAAAGTTTGTGTGAACATGAACAGATATAGCGTTCCATGTCGACTGTCGTGTTATACTTGTCAGTTGACGCGCACATCATACTTCGTAGTTTCACGTATCCTGGATACAATTAGTCACGATCATTAATGTAACTAAATTTCAAAATATCAAATGGAATGAGTTCCATTTACAGATAATACATTGCCAAATGTTTGACAATAATTTGAGAAAATCAATTAAAAGATTATATCTTTCTTTGCTGATTATAATTTAAATTTTATGTACAAGTTTAATATAAAGATAATCTTCTCTTATTGTTTTTTCATATTTTATTTAGTGCATAAAAAATATTACAATTAAAAATTATTATAATTAAATCTATAATTAAATTATTATAATTAAAATAATATTTATTTTTATATACTTTAATATTTTCGCTTCCTTAAACTTAAATTTAATTAAAGATAACTAATAAAGAATATAAAAATAAATATTAAATCAAATATAAAATTATAAAGATCCAAGTTACGCTTAATGAATAGCAAGCAATATTTTTATACTGTGAAAATACTGATAATAATAGACTGCACAATTTTTTTAGTCTATACTTCTTATCAGAAGTTGATGACCTCTCCATCTGTGCGCCTTACTTACAGTTTTATTGCAATATATTGAATATTAATTGTAAATGTATAAATTATTGATTTTCATATTAAATACATTCTTTACCGTTATAGTATCGAGGATAAATGAGCACACACATATAGCAAAACAATTTAAACCGTGAATATGAGAAGTAACGTTTCCATCACAGATTACAATCAGTGAGCTGAAATATCAACGCATTTATTCAGGAAACTGCAAACGCAATCGACAAAAAAGATACGTATTTGTAGTATTCAAAATTAAACTCACCGAAATCATAACAATTTCAATCGTTGGTTCAATATCGCCTATACATATAGCGTTATCCTATTAATTTTGGATAACTTTTCTTTCAGCGTATGTTTTACGAAAATTCAATTTATGTATACATTAGAAAAAAGAAATAAGGAGCAATCATTTCGTTATATTAAATAGAATATGTTAAATATGCATACGTATGTGTGCTTACAAATGCGTACATATCTTCATTGTATTCATGTATTCACGTAGCTTTATATGTATAGATGTGTGTTCGTATTTTATTGATAATCACATATAAAAATAATACAGTTTATCTTGTAATTTGCTTAATGCACTTATGCATTTAATTTCATTGAGAATTAAATTTTTTCTTTGATGAAACTTACATATTCAATAAATTGTTAATTAGCAACATGGTATCTTATCTCATAAAAATGTTGTAGTAACATATATAATTCGATTATTATAATTAAAGTATACTTTTTTTACTTCTTTAATCGATATTCATAGAAATAGGATAATTGCATATCTTTTTATAAATTATGCATATTATACATATTTTTTATATATATGTATAAATTTGAATTTATAATTTATTATGAGAAAGAAAACATAATACAGTTAAGATATCACAATCTCTTAACTTATATAGATTCAAAGAGATTCTTAAAATAAAATTGAAGGAAAAGTTACCATTAAAGTAACCATTAAAAGAATTTATATTTTTATACATAAATAATTCGTATATAATAAAAATGTGAAAAAACCGAGGAAAACAAAAAAAAATAAAATAAAAGAGAACAGAAAAAAAGATAAGGAGAAGTATGAAAAGAGAAAAAGCGAAAAGGAAATTTTGCAAGAGAATATTTGACAGGGAAATTCGAGGTTGCTCATCATCCAGCCAATTCCAGAAAAGCCCTGGCAATTCTGAAAGAAACGAGTTTAGCAACGTCGAGTCAAATCCTCTCAAATCCTCTCTCTCTCTCTCTCTCTCTTTCTCCCTATCTTTTGCTTTTCGTTTAAATTAAGATTTACGCGATAACCTGTTAGATTGCCATTAGATTGGATATGCCTGTGTTTTATTGAATTTATGATAAATTGCTTCCAAAATTTTTACTCGCGATGCGGATAATATTAAGAAACGAAAAAAGAAAAAGACAGAGAAAACGATCTTCGCGCACTTAACCAGTGAAAGAGAGGCCACAGAAATCCCTTCGTAAATCAAGATAACGATCGCGATTAGAATCGCGGTGATTTCTTTCACAAAAGGGAGAATCTGCTGAATACATTTAAAAATGATGCTTCCGACATGCAATATTAGAGTTGGTAATGATCGATGGACATACAAATTCCATTATCATTCTGAAAAATGATTGACATTTATATTCAATCCTTACGAATATGTTATTTTTGTTGCAAAGGAAAAATTAAATTTATTTAGTCGAGTTAATTACATAAGTTATTCTTTGTAAAAGGAATACAATTAATACTAAATAATAATTTATGTAATATTTCAACTAGTGTTTGCTAAGTTGCATAATAATAATTCAAAGTTTAAAAATATTTAAATGATTTTTTTCAAACATATTTAAAGAATTGCACATACACTTATGTAACTTATTTCTAACAATAAATATTTAAGAATTACAATAAACTGTGTAAAAATCATAATAAACTCCTAAGATTAAAAATTACATGTATAATAAACTTTGATTACTATATTTTCGAAATTTATTTCTCCATTGACATAAAATAGCAAAGAATAAAAAACTACGAAATAATTAAAATTGATAGCTTTAATTAAAAGTAAAAGAACTCCTTGCAGAATGTAAGATGCTTCCGAAGTGTAAGCTGCCTCTGAGATATGAGATATTATGACAGATGTTTTCAAGAGTGCAAAAATAATTGATAATTTCATGTCAGCACAACTGCTGCCATTTACGTAATATAATAGAAAGATGAATGTATTCATGACAACAAGAGTATATTTTGTATTCACAAATTGTTAACTTAGTCAAAAAGGTCAAGAACTGTAAGCTTTCAAGAAAGACATGTTGCAATTCTGCGCTATCCATTCATAGTCTCATGATATCGGATCTTCATTGTAGTATAACTTTGAATAGATCACGAGTTTAATAACACCAGTTAGCGCCGTTACTGTCCATGATATGAATACCGATTATTGTGCGCTCCATCCTAAAGAGTTGCAATAGTGACTTATTTGCTTCACTGAATTAACAAGATAGTCATGGTGTTGTGCAAAGAACGATGCCTACACGATTTACATCTTTTTTAAAGATAAACAATTTTTCCAAAAATGTATTAAATATGAATAAGTTGTTGAAGCAGCATTAGTACTTCATAATTGCATTTTTAATATAAGACTGTAAAGTGTTTTTTCATAATAATAGAAAGAGCTTCTTTTTAAGTGATTTTAATGTGAATTTTAAAATTGAATTGTATGTGATTAATTGATTACGAACGATCGAATTATTTTTTTAACAATACAATATTATACCTGTTAAAAATTATTCAATTCAAATATATATATATCAAATATCTTTGAAAAATTAAAATTATAATTGAAAATTAGATATTTTACCTTTGAATTTTTTATATGATTTTTATTTTTTTTAAATGTAAAAATATAAACTTCATGCAATTAGTATATATTGACAAAATCTTTGAAAATAATAAATTATTGTACATATTAATTCTTACATATTTTCATGTATAAGTTTGCTCTCAGGTATTTTCGCGAATAAAACCTAGAAGTCCAATAAGAATCAATATATAAATACGTGCTATGTTCCATGTAAATAATTATGAATCAAGATATACAGCGGATTATAAGGGTCAACCATATTTTACGTTACGTGGCAGGGATTTAGGATGAAAGTCATCTTACTGCCATGAGTATCGTGGAATCTTTGGGCATGTTTATGCCACGTGATTGCGACACATTTATCTTCATATAAAATCGTAAAGTTCACGTGTGGTCATTTTCCACGAGTACTGTGTTAGCCAAGGTTGGAGTTGTCATTGATGGTATATCTTCTGCGATTTATCATTTCATAAATCGAACTTTCATAAAACACAAAGCACACAACAAGCTTATGTTATTTGGCTTTATGTTTACTTATAACAATATTTTTGTCTTAATAGAATAAAAGTGGAATTGACGATAATTTCTACATTTGTTATTACTTGTGTACTTAATATATAATATATTTAATATGATATGCATATTCTAAAATATACATATGTATATATAAATGTTCTTCCTTTTTGAACATCTCTTCGTGATTTCCCATACAAGAAAAATACAACAAAATTTAAAATAAACAAGAATTTTATCTCTATTTCTAATATTTGAATTGTAGAATAAAATACACAAATATACACATAAAGTTCTGCTAAAATAATATATAACCTAGAGAAAATTTGATATAATAAAATAATAATAAATTTTAAAAGAAAATTACATATATATGTACACATATACAGGATGCTCCCGAATTAAATGATTAAACTTGATATATTTAGCACCTCAAAACAAAAAAAAAATTCTTTTGGAAGTATTCTCGCAAGCGCTTCGTTCATATATACAATTAGATTTACATAAGCGATTTTTAGAAAAAAAAA